GTTTGAACCGTATTTGCGCCTATCACTTTTAGTTTGAGTAAGTAGTTTGTGATGTTTATTCGGCAATGTTTTCAGCATCATAAACACACGTAAAATATCTCACCTGAAACCTCTTCATTTGCTCAGTAGCCTGTAATCTAGAGTTTGTGAATCTAAATACTTAAAAGCCGCAAGTGAGAAACCCTTTTTGTGAGCGATTGGAATTATAGCGGTTTGTACCCCTGTGACATTTCTGATGAAAACGTGAGCCGTAATGCTTTGCTGAGGAAACTGAAAATCATCGAAAGGCGTAGAATTTCCAGGTTCCACTTTCAGTCTCCTTTGTCGGGCACATGACGAGAATATTTTTGGTCTAGTATAATGTGTTCCTCACCGATACATGTTTTTATTCAAATAGTAGGGATGAGTTACGAAGGAACTGAACCCCACGGTAGCCGGAGACAAATGCTACATCGAGAGAAACAGCACTTAAGCCCATGGGGCTTCGGAGTGAAGAACCAACAGTATAGGTCTAAAACTAAAGCTACATGTTGGTTGGTTGGTTTGCACCTCGGACCTAAGAGTCTATGAATTTAATTGAAATCGTTGAACCACCACAGCCACCAACAGCCTCAGATTCATTGCAGTTGTGCCTTCTAAAGTGGCTGTACACTGGAATACTAATAGGTGTCGTAACTATTATTACTTCTTGAATCTGTACTGAACGTTCTATTCTTCAGATGGTGAAAGTTTGGATTAGGTCATTCGATTTTTCACAGACACCAGGCACTGTTGATGTTCTTTTCTTCTTTCTCCTCGTTTTTGAAATACATAACCAACAATCAGTAAAAACTGAAACTCAGACTTCTAACGACTAGCGACGCTATCAATTTTCACGAAGGGAGCGCGTCTAATCAGTCGTCTGTAATGGGATACGTAGAAACAGCTAATTCAAGTCGATAACGGAAGTGAAAATATGGCTAATACTCTAAAATTGAAGAGGAAAAGCATTTAACGTGTTACGGTTGAAAAAGCTGCAGAGAATTCACGGGGTTTGTTACAAACTGGATCGCCTGGTGGCTCAACAATTTTAGTGCGTGAAACAAATTAGGGGTTAACTGCCGCCTCAACATGTGCGAAAAAGCAAGGTATTGTCTAATTGCAGACGGACATTCATAGTATGCAGAACAAGGAAAACGTGAATTGGACAGGTAAAAATCCCTTTACAACTGCCTCAATTTTACTGATTAAAGGAGGTTTGCACTGCTCTTGATGAAAGCAAAAACTGAAGAAACAACCGAAAATCACTCCCAAAATTTTTCTGTTTAGTTTTATAATTGCTGCGTCCAGCAGTGTTATGAAAAGATCTTGTTATACCAAATATCAAGCTAATCAAAGAAGTCCGTGAGAGCAAACACTGATGCAAGTTTATGTACTGGGACCAGTCAAAATTGGGCTAAATCCAGTGTCTTTTGGACGATTATCGTGCCCTCTACACGCCTGGATAAGGAGACCGTGACTGACGGATGCCAGCAGTGATTGATCAATGAAAATCGCGCTCGCACTGTCACATTCATTTCGTCCACTGCGTATGTGATGGGGACTGAACGGACTGGGGGCGGCAAGCACTCGCAACCGAAGTCTTCCTAAAACAAATTGACCAATCGTTGTCTAATTATTTATCATCGAGAAACAAAAGTGCCTATTCCGCTCAGTCGACTTTCGAACTGTGTGAAAAGCTGGAGAACCAAAGCCATATAAAGGTGGACGGAGCAGATCGCACTGAGATCAAGTTGTTCCGTGGAAAATATGTTCTCTCGGATAAGAGTCTGAAAATGGTGCTGTCTTGCTCAGGTATCAATGATCGTTTTGCTTTTCCAGGCAAAACGTTTTGTTTGCCCAGGAGAAAGCGTATGCAAATGATTAAACTTACCGAGAAACGTCTTTCTCCGGGTGAATCTGTATAAGAATTTTTGTGTATGGCAGGTGAGTATTGGCTGTTCATGTTTTCACGAGCAATTATTGGTGAACCGATCGCATTTTCTGAGAATCTGCGTTCCACAGGTTGTGATGGCACCGCGATCACTCTTTCCTTCTGTCCGTATGTCGGATTCAGCTGCAGCGATCCGTCCACGGATCGGGCTCGTTCCAAGCGACGGTCGTTGTACTGTGAATACAATGGTGAGGGATTGACAATTTCCACAGTACCAATCGAGTTTGGTCTTATGGTTGTGGTACCGGAGGATGCGGAGTAGATTGAATCGATCGAACGAGATGTTCGGGAGTACGTTTGGAACGGTTTTCGGTTTCTTTCGGTCATCAATGGTCTCTGGAAAAACAGAATATCGATCAAATTATAGTTTATCTGAAACCTTCTTTTATCTGTAGTTGAAAATCATTGTTTCGTTGAAGAACATTTTCGGTAGAGGCGCATCATGAGACTTCGTTCGCAAATATATTGTTTCATGCAATGCAAATGAGAAATTCGCATAAAACTTGAACACGACAGTTATCATTTTATCCTATTCGTGTNNNNCTTTTCGAAGAACTGAAAACTTGCGGTTCTGTTGCTCCGTCTTAGACATGCACATAACGAAGGTCCTCACAGAATGTAAATTAGAATGACACGAAACGTGGGATGGGTTCGCGAACTCAGGGGAGATGAAGAGTTTGGATAAGACGCTTCTGGGTACATAGTTCGGGGGTGAAATGCTTAATACAGATGGCCTCGGCTATGGCTAACGTACGTATTTGGACGTATTTGGACCGGTTTAGGGGGACCTGATAAATAATGCGGAATGCTTCACTTGGGTTAACACAATGGCCAGTGTCTACCGAGTGAGCGAGAATCGCACTTGTGATAGATCCGGAACCACCTCGACTCAGCCAGCGTGGATGGAGTTCTTTCATGCGGATAGATAACTGTTGTGCCGTACGACCGACGTAGAGTGCGTCATAAACGCATCTTAACGAGTAAACAATTATTGAAGCGGTCAACATCGGTAGTTTATCTTTATTCCGTATGGTTATCAGTGGTGAGCGTTTGAAAAGTGCGCGGCGTTGAATGAGGTTTTTACCGCTCCGCTCATTCTTATGAGGGTTTCAGCGGCAACCTCGCCCTTAAAAGGAAGACAGGTCGTTCTTTTCCACCCGATCATGATTATGAGTT